CCATGTTGTCTGAGTGTTTATAGTTTAGTAGGGAAAATAAGGAATATTTACTGAGTGCCAGGAACTGTGCTAAATGTCTTACAAGGATAGGACATTTATTCCTCTCAACAACCCTATGAAATAGGTATTATTATTTCTAGTTATGGATGAGTGAGCCAAGGCACAGCTGTTTTGTGGACAGCCATATAAAAGTAACTGGAAGAGCCAGAAAGGTGGCAAATATGAAAGGGGGATGATGAAGTGCTAGGGAGTTTGTAGCAAAGGCCTAGAGCCTGCCCTGAGGAGGGCAGTAAAAGTTTAAACTATCTAGAAGGGTGAGTAGAATGTATCTAGAGGAAGAGGCAGTGGGAGATTGAGATGTCACTTGACCCCAGTGAGAATAGCCCACATGATAAAGTCCCAAAGCAACAAATGCTGGTGTGGATGTGGAAAGAAAAGAACACTCATATACTGTTGGTGGGATTGCAAACTAGTACAGCCCCTATGGAAAGTAGTATGGAGATTCCTCAAAGAACTGAGGAATTTTATCATAAAGACACCTGCACTCAAATGTTTATAGCAGCACAATTCACAATAGTGGTCTCAAACTCCTGAGCAGAAGTAATCCTCCTGCCTGGCCTCCAAGAGCGCTAGGATTACAGGTGTGAGTCTCCAAGCCCAGGTAGAATTACATTTTTAAAAGATCACTCAATTCAAAGACAGGATCTTATAGGGTAAAGAGTAGGGTGAGGTAAGTTATACGAGTGCAGCATCAGATCCCCTCAATTTAAAGTGCTGATATTTTGTGTAGCATGTAATTATTCATTTATTTATATTTAACTTATTTGTTAAATTGCATTAAATATTGATTATCTTGAAAAAAAATCACTCAAGGCATAAGAAAGCAAGGTAGGGGTAAACAGTTTCATTGGAGGCTTGAGTGGGGCCAGCAGGAAAGACAGAAGTGGGCACATAAAAAAGATCAGTACTTAAGAATTGTACTCAGGGCTTAGTGCCCGTAGCTCAGTGGTTAGGGTGCCGGCCACATACACTGAGGCAGGTGGTTCGAACCCAGCCCAGGCCTACTAAACAACCATGACAACTGCAACAGAAAAATAGCCAGGCATTGTGGTGGGCACCTGTAGTCCCAGCTACTTGGGAGGCTGAGGCAAAAGAATCACTTAAGCCCAGGAGTTGGAGGTTTCTGTGAGCTGTGATGCCACAGCACTCTACTGAGGGCAACAAGGAGGACTCTGTCTCAAAAAAAAAAAAAAAAAGAATTGTATTCAGTAATTGGGATGTAAGGGAGGGAGAGCTGAGGCTCACTCCTGAGGTCCAGACATTTAATTAGTTCATTTCATTTCTTTCATTGATGTCATGAATATCTTCTCCACTTGTCCCTTCCTTGTCCTCCCACTGGCTGAAATCCAGTCTATCTTTGGATTTTTCTCTCTCCAGACCACACTTCCTGTCATCTTAGCATATGTTCTATACAGAACACAAATCTGTCAGGTCAGTCCAAGCACCATTGTCCTGTCACTGAATCTTTCACAGAATAAAGCCCGATTCTTTCTTATTCAGTTTCTTCTCAGGCCAAAGCCCAAAGCAGCACTCTCACTGAACCCCCAGTAGGGGGTTCACCTGCCTCACCTGAAAGTAGAGATATATGTTCCTTCATAGCCCTAAACCTTCGCGTACTGTTTACTTGCCACATATTTATTAACTATATCATGGCCTCATTCCTCAGAGGTCACATGATTTCCCCATTGCCAGGGAATTTGCCTATTCACACTTCAAGTCCCAGCACAGGTAGCAAGCCTCTGCAGGCTTTTCTAGCAGTCCCACTCCTCAGAAAGGATTAATTGCGTCCTTGTCTGAGTTTCTAAAGAACTTTACACATATCTCTGATTTCTGTACTAATACTTATTTCATTGTATTGTGAGCCTATGGCTAATGCAATCAATGAATGCCCCTGACCTTCAGAGGTTGTTGGGAGGATTCAATAGAATAAGATGAGGACTGTCTGGAAAGTATCCAGCCATGTACTATTAAAAAAATAGAGACACACATGGCTGGATACTTTCTGGATAGCCCTCATATATGTACAGTTAATATTTTCTTTTCTTTTCTTTTTTTTTTTGAGACAGAGCCTCAAGCTATCCCCCTGGGTAGAGTGCTGTGGCATCGCAGATCACAGCAACCCCCAACTCCTGGGCTTAAGTGAGTCTACTGCCTCAGCCTCCCAAGTAGCTGGGACCACAGGTGCCCGCCACAATGCCCGGCTATTTTTTGGTTGCAGCCATCATTGTTGTTTGGCGGGCCCGGGCTGGATTTGAACCCGCCACCTTAGGTGTATGTGGCTGGCGCCTTAGCCACTTGAGCCACAGGCGTCGAGCCAATTTATTTAATTTTTTAAAAAATTATTATATTTTAGTAATTTTATTTTGAGACAGAGTCTCACTCTGTTGCCCAGCCTAGAGTGCCATGGCATCAGTCTAGCTCACAGCAACCTTAAACTCTTAAACTCAGTCTAGCTTAAACTCCTATGTTTAAGCCACCCTCCTCCCAGAGCCTCCTGAGTAGAGTAGGTGGGACTACAGCAACCTACTACAATGCCCACCTAATTTTTTTCTATTTTTAGTAGAGACTGGGTGTCATACTTACGTAGGCTGGTTTTGAACTCCTGAGATCAAGCAATCATCCTGCTTTGGTCCCCCAGAGTGCTAGGATTATAGGTGTGAGCCATTGCACCTGGCTTTTTTTTTTTTTTTTTTTTAAATAGCCACAGCATCTCACAACGTTGCTTAGGCTGGTCTCAAACTCCTGGCTTAAAGTGATCCTCCTCTCTCAGCCTCTCAAAGTTCTAGGATTACAGGCACGAGCCACCCCACCTGGCCTATATGTTTGACATATAAAAATTGTATATATTGGGTGGCACCTATAGCTCAATGAGTAGAGTGCGGGTTGAACCCGGCCCCGGCCAAACTGCAACAAAAAATAGCCAGGCATTGTGGTGGGTGCCTGTGGTCTCAGCTACTTGGGAGGCTGAGGCAAGAGAATAGCTTAAGCCTAAGAGCTGGAGGTTGCTGTGAGCTGTGATGCCACCGCATTCTACTGAGGGCAACAAAGTGATGACACTCTGTCTCAAAAAAAAAAAAATTGTATATATTTATGGGAGTACAACATGATGTTTTGATACATGATATATGTATACACTGTGGAATGATTAAATCAAGCTAATTAACATATCCCTTACCTCACATACTTATTATTTTTTGGAGTGAGGACATTTAAGATGTACTCTCTCAGCTTGGTGCCTGTGGCTTAAGTGGGTAAGGCACCAGCCACATATACCTGAGCTAGGGGGTTCGAATCCAGCCTGGCCCGCCAAACAACAATGATGGCTGCAACCAAAAAAAATAGCTGGACATTGTGGCGGGTGCCTGTAGTCCGAGCCACTTGGGAGGCTGAGGCAAGAGA